AGCGTCCACCCTTAAAAAATTGTGATTTTCTGAGTTGAGGCCCGTGGGCGCTAACACAGGCAAGTACAATATTTGTGTTGTGAGTGCCGTGTCTAATTTTTCGCATAATGGCAAGTCCCGTTTGCCAGAACACTCATCGTCCAGTCATTCTTTCCTGGAATCTTCTACTTATTATCACCTCCCCACTGTCAACATATACCAGTTTCAAATATCTTTCAGATCTTAGAAGAACTTTGATAAACGCAACGATTTCTTGTGTAATCTTCAGTCGACGACAACCGATACTGTCGGAACGTACCAATGTCCAACCGATGCCACAGAAATGTCGCACAATCTCTTGAACCGTCTAGCTTCTTGTGCAATCATTCGCAAAACGCAAATAATCTCCATCTCAGTGTCTTAGTCTAGACGCTCTGACATAATAGTAATAATTGTTCAAAATCAGAAACTGCATTCAAAACTAAACTGTTCTCACGAGGATAATTTAGATAATTTCATTATATGTTATTTGTATCAAGTAGGTTTATTATTTTCTCAAAACATTTAAAATATAATTTATGACACACTCAATATTGTAAACAGAACTTTATTTGGCATCAAGGGGGGGCACGCTGCTGGGACAATCTGCCTGTACAAAGTTGAAAATGACTGACTGTAACTGTAACTAAGCTATCTAAGATAACGTGTCCCACAGCGGGCCCCCCAGATAGGTCAGTTAGTGACAGTACTAATGACCTTTAGCACCTGGTAACAAAACATACAGAAAACTTCTTAAAAACAAACTGCGATAAAGATAAATAAATGTTAACTATTAGTAATCAGTAATGATTATGAGGTGAAGCTGTGGTAGCTGAGATAAGACTACCTGGTAGAACAGCGAAGACTATTGACTACCTGAGGTAAGTAAGTTATCAGTAGTGCTGCGGAGGCTGCACATACTAGCAGAGACAGCGTAAGCCGAGACCACGTAAGGGTTAGTAAGGCAGCGGAAGCTGCCTGGCAAGGTAGAAATGGCGGAAGCCATAGCTACAAGTATGGTAGGTTAATATACATGAGGATGAAAATAAATACATACTATATATAAACTAAGAGAAAACACTTGGGTGAACTATAAACACAAGGATGACAAAAATACATACTAAAAATAAACTAGGAAAAATAAATCTTGGGGGAACAAATGAGTATAATCCACTAATACGAAGCCCCCGAAATATGCTGCAATAAATAATTGCAGCAATGCCCCCAAGATGAAATTTAAGCGTGATCATAACAGCTGTTGCTCAATACTGCATGAGCATGACCGATAGAGGTATCTGTTGTATGAATGTACCTGACATAGCTGTCAGATGACCATCGTCCCAGGGCCTTTATCATGTGATCCTGGATCCCTGCTTCAGCTGCTGAGGAAGCGGCACCAATTCGGAAAGAATGGCCAGAATACTGAGTTGTATCTAACCCCAATGCAAGTAAAATTTGATGCAAAAACTGAAGGAAAATAGACCGAGTCATAGGCTGACCTTCTGCAGTTACAAAAAGGGGGTGGTTTAACGAAGGTGAAGGTTGCATAGCAGCCCTAAAAGTTAGGTAACGCTGTAGTGTGCGAACTGGGCACATCCGAGAATTACTGTAAAATTTAATAACTGCCCCTTTACGAAAGGGATCAGTCTTAGAAGACTTCAATCTAAGGGAAGCTTGACCATCAGCGCTAAAACTGACATCGCCTATGCATAAGTGAACATTACTATCAAATTTAGATGAAACAGAGAATTCCCCACAACGCATAAATCCGAAAAAGGCTAGCAAAATAACTGTTTGCATAAGAATGTCGGCAAAACCAGTAAACAGTCCTGCCTGCAACCTCGAAAACATTGAAAAAATAATAGCTGAAGTGAAAGGAAGCCGTGTCCTGGAACACTGTCCCTGATCGCGCTTGATGGCTCTGAGTAATAAGTTTACACGCAACAGTGGTATATTAACTGAACTCTGCCAGGGATTCGTCACCCCGGCCTCAATGTACTTGAATCGTATACCAGCAAGATAAAGTCGAATAGTCGATTCTCGGAGGTGCAAATGTTTGTAGCAGTGTGTAATAAATAACAACAATAAATCCTCAGAAAGCACTGGTAAATTAAAAGTTGAACATGGTACATTGTGCATAGACAGAAAATTGGTAAAGAGGGCCAAGCCAGAGTCATACACCTGCCTTGTACTATGTGATATTGTTGCACTCCACAACTCACGCACTTCAATCCCTAAATAAGTGTTACTTTGCAAAACGGTGGACACAGTGTCTTGTTCAGTTCTGCCTCTGGTGCCAGACTGTGGAATTTCTGCAATTGAAAGCGTGATAAAGCATCAGCAATAGAGTTCTGCCTGCCAGGAACAAACTGTGCCAACACAATGAAATTATGTTTCATGGCCGTTAAGGTTAAGCGGCGCAAGAGAGCATTAATAGAGTGGCAATGTGATGAAGCTCTTCCTTTCCTCAACACATGAACTGTTGTCTGGTTGTCACAGTTAAAGCGAATTCTCTGTTGAGACCAATGCCTTCCCCACAGCATTGCCGCAATTACAATAGGATAAAGATCCAATAACGCCATAGATAGCTTATCATGTCGCACGGAGAGCAACTGTGGTGGCCATACTTCACTAAACCAACTCCCCTGGAAATAGCCCCCAAATCCTTTAGTAGATGATGCGTCAGTGAAAATATGCAGGTCTGAAGAACTAACCACTTGGCTGTTCAGAATCAAATGTATACCATTCCAAGAAATAAGAAACTGTCTCCACATAGATAATTCTGACAGACAAGCCGTAGTGAACGTGACATGATGATGTAATTGGGAAACTGACGACGCCAGCTGGAGCAAGTAAGAAATGAAGGACCTCCCTGGTATGATTACTCGGGCTGCAAAGTTCAGGTGACCTAACAAAGATAGTAGCTCCTGCTTCGTAACAGTGCGCTTAGTAGAGAATTCTGAGATTTTGGCAGTAATCCGGCCCATCTTATTTGTTGGTAAGAACACGGTCATAGTCTTAGAATTGAGCATGAGGCCCAGGTATTCTAACTCTTGCACAGGTCCAAAGGTTTTATGAGCTGCCAAAGGTACTCGAAGTGAGTTGAATATCATGGTCATAATTGCCATAGATCTCATAGCTACTTCCTCTGTCGGATCTATGGTTAAAAAGTCATCTAGTAAATGTAGGATGAATCTCACATTAAATCTATGTTCCGCAATCCAGCAAATGGCCTGCGAAAGACTATCGAAAATCTTTGGGCTGGACCTAGACCCGAAAACAAGTCTTACAAAAAAGTAAAACTTCCCATCCCACTTAATGCCATGTAGATGCCATACTGATGGATGCAGTGGTAATTGTTTGAAGGCATCTGTAATGTCAAACTTGCACATGTAAGCACACCCATTCAGACGCTTTATCTCCTGAAAGGCATCATCAATTTTTTATATAGGACATGGAATATGTCTCCTTGTCTATGAGTTCATTTAAACTGGGAACCTGTGGATTGTCATGCGGTGCGGATAAATCAACTATTAGTCTCTGTTTTTTCGAATATTTCCCTTCAACCACCCCAAGTGGGTTGATTCTGTAAACAGGAAAAGGTGACGATTCAAAGGGTCCTATAATATACCCCTTATCTAACTCTAACTGAAGTAAACGGGAAACAACTTCTGGGTTCTGTCTAGCAGATAAGTTATTGCGGCAGTCAAATGAATCAGTAGGTGCATTTTCAATCCCAGTCAGAAAACCATCTCGTAAACCACTGCACAAATATGAAACAAAGTTAGATTCTGGGTGCGCTATCAATAACTCTTCTAGTTTATCAACATTGATTGGTGTGGTGGCTGACTTTGGTAGTCACTGGGTAGCGTTGACATTACCAGGAGCAGCAGAAGATCCCTTACTTTTTGCGATAGACTTTGAGCAAGTATTAACAGGATGGTTGGCTTTGCATGAAGTGCACACATGAATAAAAGGACATGGATTCCTGGTGCAACCCTTATAAGCCAAATTGAAATTGTTGCAAATCTCTCTACCATTCCAGAAAACTTTAGGACGACCGCGACTGTCATTGCTGGAATCCCCACGTTGTAGAAACTGGGGAGTGAACTGTTTACGGGGACAAAAATCAACCAAGTGCCCAGTACTGCCACAGACTGTACAAGTATTACATCGACGTCCGGACGTAAGATTCATATAAATTTCAGAATCTCTAATCGACCAATCCACTTTAATATTACGCTGTGCTTGCCATGCTGCAGCTTGGTTTGCGAATTCCACATGATAATCATAAAACAAGCTACCCCCAAAATTGACGGCCATGTTGGTAATAAGAGCTTGGTAACAAACAAGTTCTTCACGACGATGTGGAAACGCTTCGCATATAATTGATTGATATTTGCCGAACGCCACCAAGAATTCATTGTGAGTGAGAACTTTGTTTAGTCGAGGGTCAGGATTTCCCTTCAGTTTAATCTCGTTACCTGTTGCATCAATAATAGTGCGACTCTCTGAACTGTCATGAGCTGGTATCAGTAAGGTAGCCAAATTAACATATTTACCTTGAAGTATACTGGTTTTCAAGGAATCTGAAACTGGCACGATTCTAGGTAATTCGTGCAAAGCTACGCCAAACCGTCGTCTCGTTGGTAAGGTAGCGGATCGATCCTGTCCAAGAGCCGTGTCGTGAAGGCTTGGTACTGTAACTGTACGTGGCGCGACGTTGTCAAATTCCTGAGGTGACCCCCGCGATGGAACAGCGGCCATGTTGTTTTCAACATCATCGGGTGAACGACGCCATCCGTGTACCGTTTCTCGCAACTCTCTGACCTCCTGAATAAGACTTTCCATATTAGTTGCAGCGTTAACATTGCCTGAGTTGTTGGCTGTAACATCCGCTGATTCAATAGTCTGTGAAGTGAGTTCTAAAGTTCCGCGATTCTCGATTGCGTCACCAGTACGTGTAACTGTACCGTCACTGCTGGTGGTCGAAACACGGCCTTGGCAGTTCAATTTGTATAGTTGAATCGCCTCTTTCTTATTCATGGACTGTGGTACCGTTATGCCCATTTCCAAAAGTTTCTGTCGGACTTCAGCCGCCGTCCAATTGTTAGGGTTTGAGGCATCAAACGTTCGCGATCTCGATAGTTCGTTGACATCGCCCAAGGCGTTATTTGGTAAAGAAAGAGATCGATGGCGACCCCTACCACGGCCTCGACGACTTGATTTTCTCCTCGTGGCCGGCAACACTGGCTCTGTTGTTTGGGGTGCAGTAGGCACTCCACGTTTACGACCCCGTCGTCTGGTATTAACTGTAGAATTCTCCATCGTGCGAAAAGTTGGTGTAAATTCGTACAGAATCCAGAAATAAACTTCAACTTGCAACAAACATAACCGCTGACGCAGATAAAACTGAGAAACTGATGCCAACACGAGATTATGCAAATCACCGTGTGATCATAAATACAGTCTAACATAAACATTAGACTCCCATTTATGACACACTCAATATTGTAAACAGAACTTTATTTGGCATCAAGGGGGGGGCACGCTGCTGGGACAATCTGCCTGTACAAAGTTGAAAATGACTGACTGCCTAACAAACTGTAACTAAGCTATCTAAGATAACGTGTCCCACAGCGGGCCCCCCAGATAGGTCAGTCAGTGACAGTACTAATGACCTTTAGCACCTGGTAACAAAACATACAGAAAACTTCTTAAAAACAAACTGCGATAAAGATAAATAAATGTTAACTATTAGTAATCAGTAATGATTATGAGGTGAAGCTGTGGTAGCTGAGATAAGACTACCTGGTAGAACAGCGAAGACTATTGACTACCTGAGGTAAGTAAGTTATCAGTAGTGCTGCGGAGGCTGCACATACTAGCAGAGACAGCGTAAGCCGAGACCACGTAAGGGTTAGTAAGGCAGCGGAAGCTGCCTGGCAAGGTAGAAATGGCGGAAGCCATAGCTACAAGTATGGTAGGTTAATATACATGAGGATGAAAATAAATACATACTATATATCAACATTGATTGGTGTGGTGGCTGACTTTGGTAGTCACTGGGTAGCGTTGACATTACCAGGAGCAGCAGAAGATCCCTTACTTTTTGCGATAGACTTTGAGCAAGTATTAACAGGATGGTTGGCTTTGCATGAAGTGCACACATGAATAAAAGGACATGGATTCCTGGTGCAACCCTTATAAGCCAAATTGAAATTGTTGCAAATCTCTCTACCATTCCAGAAAACTTTAGGACGACCGCGACTGTCATTGCTGGAATCCCCACGTTGTAGAAACTGGGTAGTGAACTGTTTACGGGGACAAAAATCAACCAAGTGCCCAGTACTGCCACAGACTGTACAAGTATTACATCGACGTCCGGACGTAAGATTCATATAAATTTCAGAATCTCTAATCGACCAATCCACTTTAATATTACGCTGTGCTTGCCATGCTGCAGCTTGGTTTGCGAATTCCACATGATAATCATAAAACAAGCTACCCCCAAAATTGACGGCCATGTTGGTAATAAGAGCTTGGTAACAAACAAGTTCTTCACGACGATGTGGAAACGCTTCGCATATAATTTATTGATATTTGCCGAACGCCACCAAGAATTCATTGTGAGTGAGAACTTTGTTTAGTCGAGGGTCAGGATTTCCCTTCAGTTTAATCTCGTTACCTGTTGCATCAATAATAGTGCGACTCTCTGAACTGTCATGAGCTGGTATCAGTAAGGTAGCCAAATTAACATATTTACCTTGAAGTATACTGGTTTTCAAGGAATCTGAAACTGGCACGATTCTAGGTAATTCGTGCAAAGCTACGCCAAACCGTCGAAACACGGCCTTGGCAGTTCAATTTGTATAGTTGAATCGCCTCTTTCTTATTCATGGACTGTGGTACCGTTATGCCCATTTCCAAAAGTTTCTGTCGGACTTCAGCCGCCGTCCAATTGTTAGGGTTTGAGGCATCAAACGTTCGCGATCTCGATAGTTCGTTGACATCGCCCAAGGCGTTATTTGGTAAAGAAAGAGATCGATGGCGACCCCTACCACGGCCTCGACGACTTGATTTTCTCCTCGTGGCCGGCAACACTGGCTCTGTTGTTTGGGGTGCAGTAGGCACTCCACGTTTACGACCCCGTCGTCTGGTATTAACTGTAGAATTCTGCATCGTGCGAAAAGTTGGTGTAAATTCGTACAGAATCCAGAAATAAACTTCAACTTGCAACAAACATAACCGCTGACGCAGATAAACTGAGAAACTGATGCCAACACGAGATTATGCAAATCACCGTGTGATCATAAATACAGTCTAACATAAACATTA